TTTTTTTATTTTTATTTTTATTTTTGTGTTTGCAGACGGCATCGTTTTTACTCGAGAGATGAAAAAAAAAGTTGTTACAGCATGTAAAAATGGAAGAATCAACTGTTCTTTTTACAATAAACTAACATTGCCCTTTTTATATAGTAGTGATATGAATGTACAATCATCTCATTCTCGCATGCATAATTATCACCCGAGAACTGAAACAAATACTTGTACAATATGTCATTTCACAAGTAGGGATAAAAGAAAAAGATCAACTTCTCTGGTACATTTATGTTTCAATTTCTTCTTCACCATCTTTAAGGTGGTCCTTGAGAGGTTGTCCGGGTATTTCCCAACTTCCAGAATTCCATGCAGAATCCAGTGCAGGCAATTCATATTCATCAGGTTTCAGCGACAACTGGAATTCCAGAAGATCAGGCAAAATATGAAGACCTCTGCATCATAAATGATATTTACACGTTTACAACATCTCGAGAAAAAGAAGTCAGCAGGAAAGATGTATCAGTATCAAGCCCTTACTTCTCTTGATCTAAAAGGTAGCCATACATCTGAGATTTCTTGGATGCGGTTTCCGGAATTTTCTTGTGTAAATGCTGCATAGCACCCCATGGTGGAGGAACCCTTAAAGAAGAAATAGAGCAATGAAATGAGATTGATTGTGATAATGAATACAAAAACAATGCAATGACAGCATGTTTGGGAGGGATGATTCGATAACTATGTACAGTATTAAAGTGGAAATAAAATTTATTGTCTATTCGTGTCCAATGCTTCAGGAATGATTTGTTTGGGACATTTAATGTAGAAGAATCAGCACCAAACCTAGTAATGGGATCTGCTAGACAAAAGGCTAGGCACGCCTTCTTGCTTTCTGCTTGAAGTTCTTCTGCAGCGAGGAAACAACACATAGCACTAATGTGGCAAGATGGTTCAGTACCTTTGTCAAGAATCAGGCCATGATAGTAGTAAGCTGCAGCCTATTCGAGTCTTGAATATGTTAGAACGTGGACAGAAGATACAACTGATTATTGATAAAAACAAATTCAAAATCAGACAGGAAAATGATTTAGCAATGATGACCTTTGCTTCAAGATACTTAAATTTAAGGAATAACATGTGCTTCTTTCCAGATTTTCCATTATTATTACCTTCAGACAAACAGCAATGGGCCTGCGAAAGGAATAAGATATTATGTAATGTGGGACAATACCAAAATAAAATCCAAAATTAATTTGAAAAGAAAGAAATAAGATAAACATTAATTCTTACTAGGAAACTTGTGTTTAACTCTATCTTTTCTAGGTATAGGACTTTTATCTTTTATTTAATTAGTATTATATTTTCTTTATTGATTAGAATAGGATTTTTAATTTGATTAGGATTTTATTAGTTTCCTTATTTTAGACTTCTTATATTAGTAAGATTAAGAGATAATTTTGCATATATATAAAGGCTTTGTACACTTTTTTTATTCAAAATTCAATTTCATTATTCGATTCTTGATTAATAAAATATTTTAGTTTTTCAATTTATTTGTGGATTTCAAATAATTATCACGTCCGTTCGAACGAACATCTATTCGTGTTATGAACTAAAACCTTATTATTATCCTCGTTTCCATCCTGCATCAAGGGGAATTAGAGCCAACTTTCCCATTTCTATATCTTTGAGTGTTGTACCAACTACTATGGCAGATTTGCAACAAATCGATGGTTTGACAATCTTACTACTTAGATCAGAGAGATTCGTAAATTGTTATTTACGGTTTGTTGGTAACAATAGGNTTTGTGGAGAAGAACAATGAGATTTTGTATGTATTGTGGAGGAAGAGAACAATGATCTTTTCACTCTGAGTTAAATCTTCTTACTTGGGCGAGCATATGATTTCCTCCACAATACATACAAAATCTCATTGTTCTTCTCCACAAACTTCATCGACATACTCTTCCTCATTCTCTTCCTTATCTCCAACATCCGATTTGCCTTCTTCTACTACAAGTCTCCTAATATTTTCTCTCCGAACTACAGGCTCCGCATCCCGTTCATTGTTGATTTCCTTATTGCTAGATTGATGATTTTGCCTACTGTTACCAACAACACATAACAACAATTTACGAATCTCTCTGATCTGAGTAGTAAGATTGTCAATTCGTAAATTTGTTGCATCCAAATCTGCCTTAGTAGTTGGAACATCACTCATGCTTATGAACCAAAGATATAGAGATGGGAAAGCCGGTTTTGATACCACTTGACGCGGCGCGAAACAAGGAATTCAAACGAAAATCTTAAGAATATGAAATTTGGAATCCATCAAATTATGAAGAGAATAAACTCACAAATTTTATTAATGAAAAGATGATCAAAACAATGAAATAATCATTTATTTGTAAGGGTTTATATGGAAACATAATTTAAGATAACCAAAATTAATGAAAACAAAATTTAAACAAACTAAAATTGAAAAGAATCCAAAATAAACTAAATGATGGAAAGTAGCACCAAAATTTTAAAAACATTTCAAGTCCTAAACGAACTCGAACGATCGAAATCCATCATATGTCATAGCATAGCAATGAGTTTTACTTGTCTCGTCGTCCTCTTTTCGAAATGGTCTTAAGAGCTCAAACCAAAATTCGAAGGTTTTCTCTCTACTATTACTTTTTCCTCGTTTTTATCCAACTCTTCTTCCATCCATTCAACAATATGTTCTATATCATTATGAGTTCAAATAATAAAAAAACTTGAGCTGGGCATACTTGCCTAGATGCAGTTTCTGTGCATAATGAGATTAGAATGCAAATTTTGTAGGTGCCTATGATGACGATAAACCAAGATTGTCCAATTACACATCAAAAACAAATGTTCCACTCCTTAATATCTACGCTTGAAGTCAAAATCATTTTGTGCTTTCAAACCATATTGACTATGGTCCTCGTATCTGAAAAAAGCTTGTACTACAAGAGAGCAAAGGTAATAGCAAATTTTACAATTCAGTGTTGTGAAAACAATGCGCTACATACTAAGGAGATAATTGCAGCAAATATCATGTCAAAGAAATATCTCAATCATGTGTACCTGCCCAAAGTATGTCAGTAGTTCACATGCGAGCCTCCTCTTGACAGATAAAGTGGCATTTTGGCTTTGGACAGCTAAACCAAGCTGAAGTTCAGTTCCCTGAGATAATTACTCTAGACATTGTGAATTATCAGGCATAACTT